TAGATCCTCTGACTTGAATAAGTTAGTTTCAAAGAGACTTTATTTTATGGATAAAATAAATATTTCTTGGTTGACTTTCACGAAATGATAAACATATTTAAATTGTATTTAAGTGATTCTTTGCATATAGAATGTCACTTAAATATAACTTAAACATTTCGTAAAAATCAGCCAAGTACAATTTCCTTCATTTTAATATTGAATGTTGGGTAACTGGGTAAAATAATTGAATTCTAATTGCGGCCCTGTCTTTTTCTTATTTTTTTATGAGGTTTACTTGACGATAGATGGCGGCCTGTTCCCAAGATTATTATGAAAAGTATAAAAATATTATTTTGGCGATTAAAATTTCTTTGTCTGAATGTATTTGCTTCATGAAAGAGACGCTCCGATGCTATGGATGGCATCACATTTCATTTGTAAGTAATTTTACAACTAATTTATTAAAATAGTTCTAGAAAAATCTCTTTGCGTCGGCTTTCAAATATAATTAAATATATTCCACAGTAGATGGCGACACTTTGTGTCCTGTGAACTCAAATATAAAGGTACGTAGTAAGTAAGGAGCTCAGTAATGATAAAATAATCATACAAAGGTGCTGAAATTTGTTTTGCATTCAGACGTAAAGAAATTTTAATCGCTAAAGTGTTATTTTTAAAGTTTATAACATTTTGTGGACATGCCGCCATCTACCGTCAAGGTAGCTAAGCTACATTGCAACATCGATATGGAAAGATTCGAGTAGTTTTACTATTTATCGGTAGATGTAGATAGTGTAGTGGGCGGGGCTTTGCATCCCCTCACCCCGCAAATTGTCACGCGTTGTTACATAGTGAAATTTAATTACAACGTCTCCTCTTTGTATTTGCTTCATGGTAGACACGCCTACTAAGATTACTGAGTTTTGGCGGGAACTTGACCGGCGGCGGTTTGCTGCTCCTGTATTATTGTTTAAATAATGGTTTGAAGTGGACTTTGATATGTAAAAGTGGTGCGATTTTGTGTATTAAGTGTCTGCGCATGTGAACTATTAGTGGAAACTTTGAAACAAGTGCTCTGATGGTGATGTAATTTTCAAAATAAGGTGTCTGTCTACTTAGACGCCTTGAGATACCATCGCCAACCGTCAGCTGTCTGCTGGCTCAAGTTGCTGTCAAAATCTCCCAAGGGCTGCACAATGTGACGCATCAACATACAGGGTATTTTTGGAACGCTCCCGAAAACTAAGACAGGCGACAGCACCAAGTATACCTTCGATCATGGGTCACAAATAAATTCGATCCTGATGAAAAAAAAATCATCTTTTAACAACGTTTTATTAGCTTTATTCACGCGCCATCATGTTAGTACAGCTAAATGAAACGATAATTTCATAAAAAATATCATGAAAATACTGAAACATAAAACCAGCAGTGGAATGACTGAATTGTATCACCTGACTAAAGGTCAATGTACTCGCGAACGCAAATTCGCGCGGCCCGCAACTAGCGGGCCATACCACTACATACGCTAATGAAAAAATACTTAAATGAAATGTAACCAAGGTTGGAGTCATGCGTTTTTATTCATCGTGTAGGTATGTTTATTATTCTAATGTATTCAGTTATGTACCTATTCAGATTAGTTCAGTACTAAGTTATTTAAAAAAAATAGTTATGAAACAGCTTACCGCTCTAAATCCTCCGTGGTCTTATGAGATGCAGCTCAAATTGTGCTCCATTCATTTCAAGGTAGATTTGGGTGCAGGCGGGGCATCATCGTGTGGTCTTCGACACAGTCCGTACATAGTTTCTCGAAAGCATCCACGATCCTTTGGCGCATTTTGTCAGCACTATCACACTCACGATTAAAAACCCTTTCTTTCACATACCAAAAAGAAGTCTAACGTGGTCAGATCTGGTGAGCGAGGTGGCCAAGCGTGTGGTCCTAGTCTGCCGATCCAGCGATCATCAAATAGCTCATTGAGGCGCTCACGGACGAACCTCACGACATGGTATCGCTGTCTGTTCAGTCGCTGTGGCAGAAACACTGATCCCAGTATGAGATCCTTAAATAAACCTGCCCATACGTTAACCGACCATCGGGTTTGGTGCCCGGTTTGTCGAACAGCGTGCGGGTTAACCTCTGAATACACGTGTGTATTTCTTCGGTTCCACAGGCCGTTTCTGGTAAATGTCGACTCATCCGTCCAGATAATGTGCTCAATGGAACCAGGCACACGTTGTCGCTGGTATAATAACCAACGGCAGAAAACTCGTCGGCGGACGTGATCGCCGGGAACTAAAGCTTGCACTTTGTGCTATTTGTATGGGCGCATTCGGTTACGCTTCAACACTTTGTGCACTGCACAGTATGACACAATTGTTCCATCCCGACGTCTTAACAATTTATTTGGCGATACTTCGTGTACCTGGGTTCGGATAACATGTTGCTGTATTCACAATCACTATAAAAGTACGCGTTAAGCATTATTAAAACAAAAAACGTAACAACAGGAATAATACCAACACGTAATCACAAGTAATAACAATACGATTGAGCTGTCGCTCGCGCACGCGTGTACAAAATCAACACGGAACTGTTTCAAAAGCTACAATTAATAACGAACCCCAACAAAACTGAAACCTACTGCTAGGACAGTTATTATACTCTTTGTCTACTGCGTCACAGCGTGAGGCGACACGAGCCGGCCGGGTTACATTCTGCCGTCGTCGGGTTACATAAAGAAGGACGCAACTAACAAAAACGTAAAATGGAAATAAAAAATAAATTGATGAATTTTTCTTTCAGACCCTGTGTCTAAAGTATATTAAAAGGTATCTATATGAAAATTGAAATATATACGTAGAGACATGAAGATTTTAAGGACGAACAAATTTTTTGATAATTTGTTTATTTATTTAAATATAACGAATTTTCCTTTTCATCTTAGCTTAAAAAATACACCTGGCAACACAAAAACATCGAAGGAAAGACGCATATAACTATTTGCGTCTTTCCAACCTAATAAATTAAAAAAAAAACTGCCATTCATTTAACAATTTTACATATTTTGGAAAGGTCATTTGAAGTTGAAAGGACGCTAATAGTAATTTACTACTTTTTTTTTAATAAATATTAGAAAAGCATTGGTAGTGAGACACAAAAAATAACAACCCGCAACTCTTGAGTAATGATTTTAAAGGGGATATCATACAAAACTTACTACGATAATAATTAAAAATTAAAAATTTTGTACAACCGAGTTTAATATAAATAATTAAGGATAACTCAAAAACTATTGGTCTGACCTCGATCAAATTTATATGGGACCACATGTGAAACACCAGCTCTTAACAATAAGATATAAGCTCTTAATAATAAGATATAGAATAATAAGACAAGACCAAGAATAATTGAAATTTAAGTAATCGATGCAAATATTGTTAAAGATGACGTAGCAACTGGTTAAATAAGTCTTTTCTTTTATGTTGAATTTGTATAAGTCTTTTCTACTAAAAAAAGTCATCTGTGATCAACAGTTACGTCTAAAATTCTTACGATAATTTCTAAAATATTGATATTTGTGAATATTAAAAAAATTTAGTAGATGCGCCTTCTTATCATGAATCGAATGGTATATTTAACTCATTTATTCATAAATTGTTAGATGCGCCCTTTTTTCTTACGACCGCAGCATTGTTTCGTACCGAGCTAGATACAGGTCGATAGCGGAGGGGGTGTGGGTACAGTCGCGTTCTAAAGTACTACATGGTATTGGGCTATTGTTTTATAATATTATAGTAATTAATTGTTTTAATGTAGAATCATAATAGGTGTTTTACTAGCTACTTAGAACTTTGGAAGAGGTGGGAATTAAAAATGGATAATGTTTACATGAGCATTATTTGTTATTTCTATCGTAAAATATAAAGTAGTTTGTAACAAGAAAACTTTAGCTAAGGGTAACACGCCGTCCATTATGACGTCTTGGGTCACATGGAAGCCAGATGTTAATGGTGTGTTGGTGTTACTGGATGCTACTTCATCATCACTTTCATCTTCGCTTGAGCTTCCGTCATCAGGTCGATCACATGGTAATTTTTTCGGTATTCTTCCTCCACACTTTTAACTTTACTGCACAATTTTCCCCATTCACCTTCTCCTATCATATTTACCTTTTCGATCACTAGTTTAGTCATAAAACAATAGATATAAATAATTTTTCTTTCCTTCCTTTTTAAAACATCGTCGCGAGTCGCAAAGTAAGCTGTGTATGCGACTGTATTTTTGGAGCGAACAAAGCGCGGGAACCAATAGCATGCAGGCACACTAATACTGGCGGATTGTTCCCCCGTCGCGCGCCTTTCGTACCAATATGTGATAAATCGCTCAGTGCCCAAGTTCAAGGCCAGCGTTTGTTTTTCACCGTTCGCGCGTACATTAACCTCCATTAGTCAGGTGATATCAATTCAGTTTCCACTGCTGGTTTTATGTTTCAGTATTTTCATGATATTTTTTATGAAATTATCGTTTCATTTAGCTGTACTAACATGATGGCGCGTGAATAAAGCTAATAAAACGTTGTTAACAGATGATTTTTTTTTCATCAGGATCGACTTTATTTGTAACCCATGATCAAAGGTATACTTGGTGCTGCCGCCTGTCTTAGTTTTCGGGAGCGTTCCAAAAATACCCTGTATTGTGAAGCAGTATACTATGAAGGATAGTTATTATAATATATTGTAACTTCAGGCTCAGAAGGGCCAGATCCCAGAGCCGTAAAGCCATTTATTAAGAAGAAGGAGAACCATAGATTACTGCAACTCTGTGATTTGATTTCTGTATATATATATATAAACTAGCATTACACATTTTACAATTTACAATTTACATTTTATACCGTTATACGTGTACAAGGAGTGCTACTAGTACTAGTTAATCTCTTAAAGGAGTGTATCGTCAAAACATATTTCGATTACACTTCGTTTTAAAGCAAATTTATCTATATTTTAATACCATGGACCCATTGAATAGAGTAACTGTAGTAGCGCCGGTAAATATTGCTGTCATAAAATACTGGGGAAAACGAGACGAGAAATTAATTTTACCAATTAATGATTCCGTGAGTATTACGTTGGATACAAGTATTATGCGCGCTAAGACTACCGTGTGCTCACAACCTGACTTTAGTGAAAATCAATTATGGCTTAACGGAATCAAGACTTCGTTCACTAATCCACGCCTTTTGAACTGCTTGGAAAAAATAAAACACTTAGCTGCCGATCAACAAAGTGTCGATCCTGCTGTCTTATCATGGAAAATTCATATATGTTCAGAAAATAACTTTCCAACTGCTGCTGGTCTGGCGTCTTCTGCTGCTGGCTATGCTTGTCTAGTTATTGCTCTTGCAAAACATTACAAAATAAAAACAGATTTAAGTATTCTAGCCAGAATTGGATCAGGCAGTGCTTGCAGGAGTGTTTTTGGAGGCTTTGTGAGGTGGCATGCTGGAGTGGAATCAGATGGAAGCGACTCTAGAGCAACTCAGATAGCAGACTCATCACACTGGCCAGAAATGAGAGCATTAATTCTTGTTGTATCGGATAACAAAAAACACACAAGCTCTACAATTGGTATGATGAATGCAGTAAAAACATCGGATTTAATAAAGTATCGTGCAGAGTACTGTGTGCCAAAAAGGACTGATAAAATGTGTGAAGCAATATTAAAAAAAGATTTTGTTAAGTTTGCAGAATTGACAATGAAAGACAGTAACCAGTTACATGCAATCTGCCTCGACACTTATCCTCCTTGTGTTTATATGACAGATGTCTCCCATAAAGTGGTTGAAATGGTTCATGCATATAATGACATGTGTGGGGAAATTAAAGTAGCATACACATTTGATGCTGGTCCAAATGCATGTTTATATCTCCTTAATGCAGATGTTCCAAGAGTACTTACTCTTATTAAGCATTTGTTCCCATCATCAAGCTCAGATTTTGTTACTGGGCTTGGTGATGTTGAGGAAACTGAAACTGAATTTTTAAAGTCATTTCCAATACAGCCACAAACAGAGGATGTTATCAAATATGTTATTCACACCAAAGTAGGTAAAGGACCTGAAATAGAGACATCACATTTATTAAATGAGAAAGGATATCCATTAAATGTAAGTGAATAGTTATAAGAATTAGAATATTAAGAAAAAAAATTACATGGTATTTTTTATTTTTTTAAACCAAAAGGTTTTTCATTATATGAATTAGGTATGTGGTTATTTTTGACATTTTATCAGTGTCATATCAATAATGATAATGAACTGATTGGTAATTAATGGTTTGTGGTTTCAGTTTTATTTAGTTATTGATTAGAATTTTAATTTATATACATTAATTGCATATTTAGTATTGTGCAAATTCAACAATTATAATTATTTTATACTATTGAATCTCAAGTTTTATTTCTCAATAAAATTAATCTTTATATGCATTCCAATTTAAGTTATATTAAATAAAGCAATATTTTTAAATGTATGCTAAAGGTAAATATAAAGTTTTATATGTATTGTTGTCTAATGTTATATAAAAAAAAAACATTTAATGATGGCTATAATTTGTTATGGAAGCATGTTTATATATTTTTTAATCCTTCTAAAGCAATCATTCATGATGATATATTGATTGACAATTAGAAACAGGCAGACAGCTCTCCTTATACATTGCAATATCTGACTGGTTCTTAATAAAATATTCTGAGAACTTGTTTTATATATTTTTTATTATTATACTTATATATTTAAGGGCATTAAAAATACATAAAAAATTTTTTACACATAAATTGTATGTTTGGTTAAAACATATTGTATTGGAAAATATATTTTTATACTTATTTATTTTGGCTTTTATTTTAATGTGATTGTACCTTTACCTTTTTAGTATTTATAAGGGTTGCACATTTTATTCTTAATGTATTGGTTGCAATGCAAACCAAATAATTCATTTTCGCCGATACCTACAATAGAAAAACTTGCTGATTGACCAGTATCTTAGAGACAGGCTGCCAGGCAGGATTGGATTGGAATGTTCGAGGATACTCATGAGACAGAAGATCATCTTCATCATCAACCAGAACTTTACGACCCAAATGCACCTGCGATATATACATATGCTGCTATGGCTGATTTTTTAAATAAAACAACTGACTAACAATGCAGAACGTCTAGTACTTCCGTCATAGCGTATAAAGACCACCAACACAGACAAATTCCTATCCAAAAAAGAGCTCTCCCATCTATCCCTAAACCTGCGACAAGGAGCAGTTCCACTGTACTTTTTTCCATTCTTTACAATCCATCAAGAAGTGACAAGGAGCAGTGCCACTGTACTTTTTTTTTCATTCTTTACAATCCATCAAGAAGTGACAAGGAGCAGTGCCACTGTACTTTTTTTTTCATTCTTTACAATCCATCAAGACGACTTCTGAACAGATTGCTTCTGAGGGCATGCCAAGCTTCGCAGGTAGGTTGGCAACCTCAGTGTTTTTTTATTATTATTATCGAGTGGAGGGTTTAAAGGGGGTTAGTAAATACTAGTATAGGTATTATATATATTTACCTGAGTCTGTGAATCAGATAAAAAGAGAAGTTCAACATACCTACCAGAACCTACCTAGATTTTCCTTTATAAATTGCTGAGTGGTGGAGAAAGGTTCTCGAGAACCTTTCTTCCTTTTCTTATGTACCGGCAGGCGAAGTGTAGGGCGTTCCCCCACTAGATTTAGTGACGACCTGGGAAGACATGCAGGAACTCAATGGATGCAGGTGGCTAGGGCCCGTGCTTTGTGGCATTCCTTGGGGTATGCTTATGTTCAGCAGTGGACGTCTGATGGGCTGTAATTATGATGATGATTGTCTTGTACTATATAGTAAATGTGAAACTGCAATACGCGCTGCTGCTTGGCGGCAGAAATAGGTTAAAGGAGGATAGCACCTACCCTGACGGACTCCCAGGTAGATATTTTAGATTTTCCTTTATAAATTGCTGTTGTAGAGCTTCCATGTTTCTCACTTTCTGGGCGAAGGTATGACTGGGGGCCATAGCCAACAAAGACTTGAAACATTTTTCAAATGCAAAAAAATATTATTTTGGACTGCTTTTGTAAAAAGATTTTACATAACTAAAGCAGTCCAAAGTAAAAATATTTAATAGACTAAAAACTAATACATTTTACGGAAAGGAGGCCCGTTATCTTGCATTAGTAAATCCTATAACAAACTAGCTTAATCTAAAACATAGATAAATAAATATAGTAGCAAGCTAATTTAAAATCAAGTATGCAAACTTCATTAAAAAAATTATAATCGTGGGCCACGATTACAATTTTTTTATTTTAATTTATTCGCAACGATTCGTGGCGAATGAATTACTGCTTGTTGTCATATATTATATTATAACATCGTGTGGATTGTCATAGGTACTTAAAGTACTCAAGAAAAAAAAGGAGGCGACAGTCATGAATAAAAATATCATTAATACCTGCCTACAACTATATAATACCAGAGTTACATCATGCAATTGGACGTGGTTATGCAACAAAGAGATTTAAATATATAGGTATACTACTACTACTTAAATGTCTTTGTTATGCAAAACGGATCCAATCCTAAAGAAGAAAGCTAATTTGAGGTTATGCAATTTGAAGAATGGATCTGTATGGTTTGTGTGTGTGTTTGTAATTTTTCTTCTTATTTGTGTTACTTTCGCTAAAATTGTTGCATCACATAATAGTATAGACCACAAGCATTATTTTTCAACTGAACATTTTTGACACAAATTACATTGGATCCTTTCTGCGTAACTGTGTCCAATTATCCTTGTAGATAGGTATAGTAAATAAATTATTAAAAAAATTGTTTAGATTAACCTTCAGATTAATTTTCAAACTTGTTGAAAACCTAAAGACCACTACTCGGCAGATTTTGTGGTGCCGTTCCCACGTTGGCGTGCTTCATTCTGCGTTGGTAGCTGGGAGCTGATGAGGGACGTTAGAGTGATCGCGGCCTTATTTTTATGTTGCTCATGTTTGGGGTTCCATATAACTGATTCATTGTGATAAGCATCAATGAACCTAAATATTTCCTCATTAGCCCATGTCGCCATGTTCGTGAAATAATTTTATTAAGCCGTAAAGCGTAATTATGAATAGAACACTTGGCCAACGTGTGATCGCTACCTAAAGGTAGCAGTACACGTTGGCCGAACGCGCTCGCCGACTGAGTGAGTGAGTGAGTGAGCCGAGGAAATATTTAGGTTCATTGATTCTTATCACAATGAATCAGTTATATGGAACCCCAAATATGAGCAACATAAAAATAAGGCCGCGATCACTAACGTCCATCATCATCTAGCTACCAACGCAGAATGAAGCATGCCAACGTGTGAACGCGAACGGCACCACAAAAATCTGCCGAGCGGGCTCGCCAAGCGCGCTCGACCAACGTGTACTGGAGCCTTAAAAGGTAGCAGTACACGTTGGCCGAACGCGGTCGCTGAGTGCGTTCGGCCAACGTGTACTGGGCCGTTTTGTGCGTATTTGGCGTTTGCGGCCAACACTCGCCGACAAGCCGTATAGTATCGGTTTTCCGTGCACAAATCAAAGAAATTTGGCGCAAGCCGCAAATATCATGGAAATCTGTCGAGCATATGCATTTAGTAAAAAGCTGTTATTTTGACATTAAAAAACAGACACTTCAATTTTATATAGATATAGGTACACTGCTTCATTCCAGCGATGCAGCATTGTGGGGCAGCCTGGAACTCGGCCGCTGCTGGTCGCCTAAGCTGGTCCAGGTCTCAGACATTTACACATCACTGAACACTACTTGCCATTCCCCTTACACCCACTTACGGCCTGACCGAGCCTTGGTGGGATCTTATAGTCGAAAACAGGTAAGTACTATATTTTCCTAGCATTCTCCCATATAGTTTAGTATGATAGGAATTCTTCCATGTGGCCATTTGGGCCCGACCCGTGTCTGCCCGTCGAGCAAGCTGCTATGGGCCCCAGCCAGGGTGATCTTTGCAGGGGCAGCTGCGAGCCGTAACATATGCAGTTAGTGTATCTCGAAAACTGGACCGAAATTGCAAAATATTTTAGTTTTTCCTTGATTTATATACTAAACAATAATTGTATTCCAAATTTGAAGCTTCTATCTCTGCCTTAGAGTTTTGATGATCGGTCAGTGAGTAAGTGACAAAATTAAAAAACTTTGACTAGTTATAATTCTTCAACTACTGGTTCAAATTTCACTGGCAGATTACAGCAGCTATCTGTGGGTGAAAGTCTAGTAGTAAATTTTATTTTAGAAAAGCAATCAGGCTTCCGCGCAAAAAAATTAAAACCTATGAAATCATAGGAAATTCCACGCGGGCGAAGTCTTGAGGGACAGCTAGTGTATTATATAAATGTTGGCGACTTTGTTGTGTGATTGGGCCTCCCCAGCCACACCTCAACTTATTGTAGCTGAGTACAGAGGGTACAGTTATTGTTTTCATAGTTTTAATCTCATAATACCGCCATCTACTTACTGCTTAATAAACTAATAATAAGTAACTGATGAAATTAATGAGAATTCTATTGAAAAATTGTTAGACTTAAAATATTCAAACCGGTGTCGGGATGATTTATTGTTATTGTCACTTTTAGCAAAATGACTAATAGGACTGTGTACACAAAACTGTGATTAAGACAAAATGTCTTTAGTTGAATATGTTGGGTGTCTATCAGCATATTATAATATTACTATTATTATTACAATATTTTACCAACTTCTTTTTGTATCAAGTCCGATGTTAGTAATTGAAAATTAAGTGGACTGTAAGATTTTCATATCTAAATGATGGAATAGTTTGAATGACTAATTACAAGATAGATGGGGTCCACAATAGTGCAAAAGCTTCTTTTCAGTTTTTATGAGTTTTATTTAAGCAAATACGAGAGCTGTGTAGCTCGCCGTAAGATTTCATAGCACAGGAACAAGAGAGTTCGATTCCCGCGAGGACCATCGAAACTGGTAAGGAAATTTTATTTGCTTATTTTCCTCGTGTTCAATGAAGTGATAAAGAATAACTTGGCGGCGAAACCTTGATGTCAAAGTAGTTTTTAAAAAATCGTGGACATCTGAAACCACTATTTTGCACATGGGTAATTAAATAGCAGCCCTGTGCATAGTCGTAAGACGTATGTAAGCTGCTTCTTTACTTTTTTAACTTTTAATGAGACTTTAAAACAGTTTGTCTTATATTAAGATAGCTTTCATGTTTTCTGCCGACTTCCAAAAAGGAGACGGTACTCAATTCGACTGTATGTTTTTTTTTATGTGTGTTGCCTCATAACTTTTTACTGGATGAACTGATTTCGATGATTCTCTTTATATGAATTTGATCAAGGTTAGACCTTTAACAAGGTTTTTGAGTTATTCTTAATAACTTATATTGAAGTCAACTGTACAAAAATTATAATTTTAAATTATCAGATATACCTATTGAGATTTTTGTGACAGTCCCGGTTTCATAGCAGGCATAAGTAAATGAACAGGCTCTTGCAAAAATGTACTATAAATATCAAAGTTAAAATTTTAAACGCATGTTTATTTTAACTTTAACTATGAGTAAAATTACATTGATAGAATCTTGAAAGTTATCCGGTAATCGAACCGATCCAATCGTAAATTTCGTAGTACATAGGCAACACAAATTCGATCCGCACCGACACCAATCATGTTTTAATAAGAATTTGAAATTTCGATTTACCACGTTCTCGGCGGTGAAGCAAAATATCGCGAGAAAACCTACTTACATATTTGAGAAGTTAAAAAAATATTTCGGAAATAACTTTTAGGTATACTTATGTGAAGTTCGTCAAGTCGCGTTGGAGTCAACTCAATCAACTCTTTTTTTGTCCTAAAACTCGCTCCGGCCTGTTTCCAGTAGTGGAATGTATGGCTGCTACTTTTTTACTTTTAATAGGCCTATCCACTGTTGATTTTTTGTCAAATAGGCCCGGATATATGCAGTAGCAGAACCGCCTGGCGAGTAAGTTGGCAACCGCAGCTTTTTATTACACTGCACTGTTATCAGGAAGATTCTGCCATCCATCTCCTATTTCAGTTTCTCTTCTGTCGCCCACGAGACGAAATGAGGTATTGGTTTCTATTTCGCTGCCTCTAAATTGCTGACATATTTCAACTCCCGTTCATCATTTCGATTTCGTCCATAGATTGAGAAGTAAGTTGGATATTAGCCGTTTTTGCCACGCTTGGCGACGGGTTGTCAACTGCATCTTTTTATTATTTTGAGTTGTAATCAGAAAGGCCCATCTTCTCTATATTTCTACATCCGTTCATGAATATAGTCCCTGTCACACGTTCATCGTGAATAGAACTACATTTATGAAATTTTAACTTTAATTGAAGTAGTATTAATGATATTTCTAAATTGAAGCCAACGCGAGCGAAGTCGCGGGTAAAAAGCTAGTAAAATATATATTTTCAATATTAGCCAGTACTTACTTAATGATGTCTATTTTTCTTAGACTTCTTTTTTATAGGATAGGGTGACAAACGTGCACACAGTCCACCTGATGGTAAGTGGTTGCTGTGGCCCATAGACATCTACGTTTATCCTCGTTTGCGAATCAAAATGCAGATGTGTTGACACCCGTGAGGTCTAAGATGGAATGCTTCTTTTCCAGTAAAAAGGGTCTCCGGTTCTCTACACTCACCGTACGAAACACAGCAGTGTTAAGCTGCTATTTGACACTGGTATTCTGTGAGAGCGTGGTCCTTCCCCGGTCGAGCCGACCCATTCGTGCTACAACTATACTACTAATATAGCTGCAGCATGGCTCTACCACGTACATTAAGACCACGTACATGCTCTGCTAAGGTCAAAGATACTCTCTTAACGGGTTTGCCTACTGATAAAGATATAAGTAGCATTAAGGAAATTAGGGACTGTTTAAACATCGAAACCTTCCTATCATGTTTACCTAAAACATCAAAAATTACTTGCTTTCATATAAACATTAGATCTCTGATTAAAAACTACTTTTGTCTTTTACAGTGTATTGAATCCTACAAGAATGTAATCGATATCATTATTATTACAGAAGTTAGTATATCAGATAAACTGAGTTTATTATATAACTAGCTGTGCCCGCGGCGTAGCTCGCGTATATAGGTTTTACTTAAAGAATTTGACGTTTAGGTAAGAGAATATTAAAAGATTTATATCAATACTGTATGAATAAGTGGCACCAAAATAAATCGTTATGCTCAAAGTTCTGAGTCGTTTGTGATAGAACTTCTGTGTAAACGACGTTAGAAGTAGACAGCCGGGGCGTACAGAAAAATGTTACGGGAGCTACTTACGCGGGAAAAAGCAACATAGAGTTGGCCATGTGCAAAACAGTCAGTATTGAGGTCCACTCCTGCAACGCGTAAAGTTTGACCTTGCGCTTTATTTACGGTCATCGGTCATCGCATAACACACGCTGACTGGGAATGGGAAGTGGGAACAGAACACGCTTAGAACTGAAAGGAAAGTTATTTGATATAAGGTGGATTCTTGGTATAAAACTACATCATGACATATTGTTTTTGATGCAATTTTGCTACGTTTAGCTTGGGCGTACGTATCTTTTTTCTGATATCTGTTTTTGATGATGTTTGTGCTGTTAGCTTACACCCATGAAGCAAACTTCATGCTTACACCCTACACGGCTCTTTCAGCTTGAATGGACTCGTTAACGTACAACGCCATCTATTACGTTCTTCGTGGAAAACATCCTTTTTTAATTTAAGGAAAACATATTTTTTTGTTTACTGTGTTTAAAGTATAAATATATTATAATAAAACATTTTTTTATAAAAAGGAATCATTTTATTACTATTTCTGAGGTTTTATGGCGCCTTTAAACAAATCGAACCTACATTTCAAAATAATATTCAAAACTTTCGATAGAATTAACCAATTTTAATAAAACAAAGTTAATCTTTGAACTGGATGATACGCTTTATGATTTTCTAAACAAATTCTTTGAAAAAAAGATGTTTACTTAAGACGTGATGCGTTCATAAACAAACAGACAGACAGACAATTCTAAAAATTATAAAAATGTACTTATTTAATGAGTTTCAGTCCCCATAATGATTTTAGTCACAAATTAATATACTATACAATGTACAGAATCAGACACAGCATGTGATTACCGCATGTATAGGGATATAAGGATAGATGGCGCTGTTAAAATCAATTCTAAAAATAAAAGAGATTAATTGACGCGATTGATACAATAAAAAAACTTAAAAGAACTTATAAATCAGGCCTACATCGTAAGCAAGAAAGAAAGTTTGATCCTCGCCGAAACCAACGAAATTGTTAATAGCTCTTTTAAAATTTGATTTACCATGTAGAGTACTCGGCGGTAAAGAATAAATTACATTGTCAATACACAGTAGGGCAGCGAGTAATAATTTAAAGATTAACAGCAAATATGAAAAGTCATTTACAGAAAAAAAACCACAACCTGCCTTCTTGCATGACATTTGTGCAACACCACCATCTAGCGATGAAATGGGTTAACTATTGTACTTTAGATTTACATAATAAGGTTAATATATTTTTTAATATATTTATTACGTTCTTTATGCAATACTTTTGTTTACTGCGTTTTAGATATAATTTCATCATTATAGAACATTATTTTACATCATTTAATTATGTTATGATTTATAATATTATATTAGTTTAAAATGTACTTGATGACTCAACAAACGCCACCATTGAACAAATTCGTACCTATACTTTGTAGCCATACTTCAGAATATTTATCATAACTTTTGATGGAATGAACAGATTTTAATGAAATAAAGACTAAATGTAACCTGAAGATACACTTTATAAATTCTTTAACGATTTTTCTGATATAAATTGGTACTTTATACGTGATACGTTAACAAACAAACAGACAGACAGACAGACAGACAGACAGACAGAAAATTCTAAAAATGGTAGAAATGTATTTAATTACTTATTTTTAGTACCACTCAATCACTTTTATTAAATAAATCTAAAATGTACAGACATCGGCTATTTACATTTTTATTATATGTATAGATATTGACGGCTATACAATACACACAGAGTTAAGAAGTCATAAAAAAGGAGGTGGTATCTTAATTTATGTGAATAATAAACACAACTTTCATATCACTGAAACCGCTCCATTGGGTTTTGAATGTATTGTTGGAACACTTGCAACATCGAATAAATGTACCTACACTCTGTGTGCGTGCGCCGTACCGCCAGACAAAAGTAAAAAGCTATTTCTCTCTGAGCTGAAACGCTTATTAAATAAATACTCGCACTGTGATAATTTTCTGATTATAGGTGACATAAATCTAAACCTTAAAGTTATAAATAACACGATATCACAATATGTAAACCTAATGAGCGAGTACGGCCTATCCTGTGGGATATCTGATTACACTAGGATCGAAACACGTAAAACCTAGTAACTGACACCCGTATTCAAGAACGATACTATGCGTACGCACAGTAGGCTTTAACCCACAGTGGACGAAATTTCGTTTCATGAACGTTACTTGAGTGTTGGACGACACTATGCAACTAATTAGGGACACCCTTGGCTAAAGTTACCCATTAGCTACTTTAACGAACGCATAGGGTCGGCGTAAATGTCATATTCATAACCTCAAAATAATAAAGCAAAAGTTATTACTTATATATAAACTATACTCCATGATATAAACTATTGTTTGTCTTTTGTGTATTTTAGTACTACCTAGTTAAATAAAAATGAGTGGTAGTGATGAGGAATTTGATAATTACTTGGACGAACAAGTGAATCGCCAAGAAAGCGTGACAATAAGGCGTGTTATCAGAGATTTTCAGAACCCTTTCGAATATTATAGTGAAGTGGAATTTAAACAGCGATATAGATTTCGCAAAGAAACAGTATTAAACGTACTTATGCCGCTAATTTCTCACAATCTCGAGAAACTTACAAAAAGAGGACTACCAATTACCCCAGTGTACCAGTTGCTAATTGCACTCAGATTTTATGCCTCAGCCAGTTTTCAAATTATCAGCGGTGACCTTATTAGTGTTAGCCAACCAACCGTTTCAAGAATCGTCAAAAGAGTGTCCTATTTGATTAGTTTGCAAATAAAACGGTACATAAAATTCCCAGAAAACAGTGAATATACAAAACTAAAATTTTACCAGATTGCGCAGTTTCCTGGAGTAAGAGGATGCATAGATTGCACACATGTTGCTATCCAAAACCCTGGAGGAAATTTTGCTGAAGTTTTCCGTAACAGGAAAAAATTTTTCTCCATAAATACACAACTTGTGTGTGGCCCTGAATTAGAAATATATGACATTGTAGCTGACAGACCAGGTTCAGTTCATGATAATCGTATATTTCAAGCAAGTACATTAAAAGCAAAGCTGGAAGGAGGAGAAATTGATGGCTTGCTTTTAGGTGACAGTGGTTATGGTTGCCAAACATATTTACTGACACCAGTTCTACGGCCAGAATCAGATGCTGAACAAAATTATAATAAAGCTCACATTAAGACCAGAAATACTGTTGAGAGAACTATAGGTGTTTGGAAAAGAATTTTCCCATGTTTGTCAAAAAAACTAGCGACAAATCTGACAACAACATGCCATGTAGTAGTAGCCACAGCCATTTTATATAATATTTGTCGTTTGCATAATGAAATTGAGGAGAATATAGAACCACCGGTGATAAGAAGAATTGGCAGAAGGAATGCCAATCCATCCAATAGACAGGGATTAGTTTTTAGGAGAATATTTATTGAACGACATTTTTGAAATGTATTTCTGGTAGTTATTGAAATTATTGTAATTTAAGTAATTTCATGTAAATAAAACAATTTTTACAGGGACTTTGAAATTAATTTTTTTTTTTTTCCAATAATGCTATTTCTAACTTAAGTTTCTTGATTTCTAAATTGTTTTTTTCTATTTGAAATGTGGCTTGCTGTGACTCTTTTTCCAATAATATTTCTTCTTTTTTTATCAATATTTTTTCCCTCTGGACTCTCAATTTATGTAATTCTGAATCCTGCTCTATATTCTCCTTGCACCGCTTTACACGCACTTGGACTTCACTGGAGAGCTTACCATTATTATCTGAAATAAAATAAGTATAAATCTACAACATGTATTATTGAGAGGAGTGTTTTGTAGTAGTAGTAGCCGGTAGTAATTAAAGATTTACTAAATGGGCATAATTATTAATACATTAAAATCAATTCTAATATTATATTATAAGCAAGTGTGTCTGGCTGTTATCATTACATAGGTCAATTACATCAAATTATGTACACTTGTAAGTAGATAGTGTATGTAATGGAAAGCTAAAAGCTCCCTTGAACAATGAATTTATATTTGCCTACTTCATATCTCCGTCCGTACATAAAAAATTACATATTATACTTGTTCCTGTACCTGTTAATGTTTTTAAAGGAAATAATCCTCTTTTCCTCTTGCTTAATTTTAAACTTTCTATGACCTCATTATCTGCAAAAAAGGAAAAGTAAATACCCAAAATAAAGTAGCATGTACACAAAATAAGATATTTGAAATAATATCCAGATATAGTTTATCTTTTTGTGCACTCTATTCAATGTTTATTTTAAGTAACATTTTGACAATACTACAGAACTATATTACCATGTTGGTTTTCTTTATCTATTTTCTCTGGAGCATGTATTTCCACAGAACTCAGGTTTACTGTGAACAATAACAATAATGTTGCTTAAATTTCAAAAAATTCCATTTCTAATTTACAATATAACTCTGCTGTTTAATAGTAAGTAAAATGCAAGCTTTGTATAGAGTAGTGATGTAAACAAAACAAGAAATAAAGCTTCATCCTTAATTATGATAATTATGTAACAAATCTTTTACCTAGGACTTTCTCTTCTGTGTTTGAGTCAATGACTCCAGGTACAGTCAGATTTATGTATGGGCAAATACTGTCTATGACGTTTTCTGTAGTGCCCGCTTCACCAACTCCACCTCCAGTCTGTAATAAACTGCCGACTTCCATTGACAGCTCCTTCTTACGACAACTTTTTATGTTTTCCCAGCATCTCTTTAGCTGTAATGCCGTTCTCTTGACCACAAAAGGTACTGCATTGTAGGCATTTTCAATTTCGTCCCATGCCGCCCTCTTGAGCTCAATGTTTCGGGCATTTGTCTGTTTGTTTTCAATAATGGGACGTTCACTTACTAAACTTATGATTATTTCTTTTTCGGCTGAAGAAAAAGCTATTTTTTTTGAGCTAAAAATTAAAATAATGTATGTTGAAAGAATTATCAAAAAACTAACACAAAATAAACATTACTGAGGAAAAATATTTGAGTTACCATTTAGCACTGTTAGCCGGAGATGTTATTTCCATTATCTTAAAAATTCTACTTGGTATTTAAGCTAAATTTTACTTCAAATAGCGTATCGTATCTAACACAAGCCAGTTTTCAGAAATCAACACATTAACCCTTAAATGCATCTTGTATCGATATTGATACATTGCATTCTAATAGTTTTTATCGGTTTTTTATTTGAAGTACAGCATAGGCTGAATGTTTACACGTTTCTTTGCCTTATTGCCCACAAACAAACAAAAATGTCATGTGTCAATGTTATTTCTGAAAGATGATTTTCTTGTCTGTGCTAAGGACATCAACAAGGTGCGTATAATCAGAAGACTGAGTTTTTCATCTAGCGGCGAAAACGAAAATAAGTCGAATTTTTACCAATAAAAATCACAAAATGGATGGTAAGTCCTTCATTTACTTGAAAACATTTGAAATTGTACGACTTTCATGTGTTTACGTGAGCAAATATCGCGTTTTATGTTTGTATCGAAAACGATACAGCATGCATTTGATTCCCGCCTAAACCCAATTCAATTGTTTGTTCATAACGGTTTTGCTTATGATTTTGCTTGCTTTTAGATACACAAAACTATACGTTTACGTTGTTAATATATAGATGAATGTATATTTTTGCTTTTCAGAGCAACAAATAGAGGATATGCTCAGGAGGTTGGAGAATGGTGACATTTCGGAAGATGATTTAGAGTCAGATGGAGAAAATATTCCTTATAACCCATATCTAGGAGCCTTAGCAGCTGAATTAGAGGACGATGAAGACGTTCTTACGGGACAGGACAATTCAGAAGATTTTCTGGACCAACCATTGATTCAGGATGAGCAGCTTGTGCAATGCGCACAGTCGTTGGAGCGAGTGGAAGCACAACCGACTGAATCTCTCATGAATTTGAGGAATTTACTGTGGAGAAAACAGTCTTTTCTATTTGATGAGAATAACATCAAATTTGGTGGGTCTGAAGAGTTACCTTCATCTATAATGAAACTGCAAAGTCCGTATCAGTTTTTTATCTACTTTTTCACGAATCCGTTTATGGAAAACATTGTTACTGAATCAGCACGCTATGCTGTCCAGAAACAACCTGACAGACCTGAAATATTCACAGAGGGTGAACTTCGCAAATATTTTGATATTTTAATATTTATGTCTGTTTACCATTATCCGAGCACAAGGTCGTATTGGTCTAATAAATTTAGCTTCAGTCCCATCAAAGAGGCAATGCCAATAAATAAATTTGAGAAAATGCGAAAGTTACTGCACTTCAATAATAATGATGATCATCTGCCAGTAGACCACGTGCAGCATGACAGGCTTCATAATTTACGTCCTATAATCACCCATTTAAATGAAAAGTTCTCTAGCGTGACCATCGAGCAGCGATTATCTATAGATGAACAGATGTGCGCCACCAAAGTGGGACATTTTCTCAAACAATATCTCCCCAACAAACCCCAGAAATGGGGTTTTAAATTGTTTGTTTTATGCAATTTGAGCGGTTTTGCTTATAGATTCATAATCTACTCTGGGAAAGAAGCTAATGAAGGATCCTCAAACAGTCAAAACCTGGGAGTTGTAGGACAAACAGTTATGAATTTTCTGAGTGTGGTACCCAGGCAAAGAAATCATATTGTCTATTTTGACAATTACTACACATCTTTGCCATTGATGTGTATACTTGCTAAGCAAGGTATACATTCCCTAGGCACTATTCAAAGAAACCGACTGGGAAAAACTTGCAAGTTGCCAACTAAGCAGGATGTTATGAAAAGTTCAATTCCAAGAGGGTCTTATGAAGAGTATGTTACAAATTTTGAAGGCATTGACATGACAACAGTAAGTTGGAAGGACAATAAGCAAGTTGTGTTAGCGTCGACATACGTTGGAGCATGTCCCGTAGGGAATATCGAACGATTCGATAAAAAAGAAAAAAAGAGGATTCTTATCACGTGCCCAAAGCTAATCAGGGAATATAACATGCACATGGGTGGTGTAGACCTCATGGATTCCTTTTTAGGAAGAAATAGGATTCGAATGAAGAGCAGAAAGTGGTACATGAGAATCTTCTATCACCTGCTTGATTTGACAGTAATAAATTCGTGGGTGTTATATAAAAAAGTTGAAGAAAAAAAAAGGAAACCACAAACAAATCATGACCCTTGCAGACTTTCGATCAGAGTTGGCAGAAACTCTTTGCAAATATAGTCCCGCTAACAACGGAGGGCGCCCAAGCACCAGTGCAATTAGGGAAGATCAACCCCCACTTAAAATGCGAAAAGGGAAACCTTGCCAAGTTTTGCCACCCCTTGAAGTTAGACTCGACCAAATGGATCATAACATCATGAGAACAGAAACACGTGGTCGATGTATGATGCCATCATGTAATTTATTAAGTATAATTAAATGTTCTAAGTGCAATGTTCACTTATGTAGTAAGAAATCCAAAGATCGTTTCACCCATTTTCACAATTCTTCAACTTTGTAAAATCATGATTATTTTGCAAAGCTAATGCATACTGTATCGAAAACGATACTAAAATATTTTTATAAAAAAATAAATGTTCCCGTTAATATAGATTTTTTATTTTATTTTATTCAGTAAATGTTACGCCTTTATGAGACAAAATAATTTTTTTGGGAAAAAATCTTTTATTATGCATTTAAGGGTTAATTGAGGTTATGTACTAATTGACATTTGACGCTTGAAAATTGAATAACTTGAAGCTAGCCCCGAAACCGACCAATCAAAACGCCGAATCCTTCCCTATGCATTCACTGAGTAAAGAAATACTTAAGTGTTGTCTATGAAACAAGTCGATGGACATATCCAACACTGTGAGAAATCGGACACTTCGCAGTGAGAGCCAGTACACTTAAATAAGGGTGGTTCTTGAATACGGGTGTAAGAGTTGCATAGATCATATTTTTGTGCGATCTTGTAAACAAGGACTGTACAGTGCGGCGTTGGGTACTGTACTGGCGGAACATCCGTACATGTCATCCGTAACATGCAATTGCATGCATCGCTCCGCCACGTATACAGGCTGATCCTATTATATTAATACGTTTCAAACAAGATCGTCTGAGTAAAGAATTACATAATATAGACTGGAGTAATGTTAATACAATAGATTGCCCAAATTTGATATACAATGATATAATTAGTAAAATTACTAAATGTTATAAAAAATCGGAATACATCATAAAAATAAATTCAACATCTAAACGAAATAATGAACCATGGATAAATAAAAGTATAAAAAACTTTTCAATAAAAGAGATAATTTATTTTTACAATGTAAAAAGATCCTACTAACGCCGTGTTAAGAGTAGAGTATAATAAAATAAGAAATAAAACTCACAAAACAATAGAGAAATCTAGAAACTTATAAAACAGAAATAAACAAAAATA